GAGAGAGAGAGAGAGAGAGAGAGAGAGAGAGAGAGAGAGAGAGAGAGAGAGAGAGAGAGAGAGAGTCAAAACTGTCAAATGTTAATACAACTCACAAGCAACACAAAAACCTCAGGTTCCAGATTATGAGCAGATGAGCACATCATCATGGATTCACTAAGGCTTCCAAAGAAAAAGAAGTTAAGAGGATGGAAAAAATCAAGATTGCTATTAAGACAGTTCCTGCAAGGATCCTTAAGACAGGTAATGAATAGTGACGTCCGAAGTGGGTGAGTTCACAGGAAGGAAATCAGTGCAGACAATGGACAAGGAAAACTGAGAAAATTGACGCAAAAGTGAAATGACGACAATTCACAAATGCATGAATCGAATCCGGAAAGATCAGAAAAAATGTAAACTATTTAAGACAGTTCCAAGTTCAGTTCCAGCAATTAAGAATACTGCCACAACAAATGTCATTGCTTGAAACACGGGGCAGTGTGTGGGGGAGAGGTGGATGGCAGTGTGCAAAATGTTTTATAAGTCAGCTACGGGATTTGTGGGAGTGAGCGCAAAGAGAGATCAAATAGAATTGGAAACCACAATGGCGTTAATATGGAACGAAGGCCCATGAAGGGGAGGAAGTTATGTTTGTGTAAAGGAGAGGAGGACATCTCAGGTAATATTGTCATTCTCCAGGGACTTATGTTTGCGCATAAGGAGAGGAGGATATCTCAGGTAATATTGTCATTCTCCAGGGATTGAGGGAGAAAGTCATGTCTACATATAAGGGGAAAACTCTGAATAAGTAAACAGGAGTGCAAGAAAGGATGTTTGGAAAAAGCAAAGGGGCTGTGGGGTCTGCTCGTCCGACTGACCTCGTAGTCGAAAAGGTGGCAGTCTTCCAGGAAGCAGCCATCAACAGCCCAAGATCTTTGTAGAGGGCTCAGCAGATCATCTTGGTGAACAAGGCGTGATTGCTGTGGACAATGCTGGCAGCGAGAAACAGACATTGAATTGGAAACATCATCGCATGAGATGGATGAGTTATTTTCACTATGTCCTGAAGATATGCGGCCAGATTGGAATCGTGGTCATGTTCATCAGTTCCTGCACGAGCGGACGAGAACCCCGAAATAAAAAGAAAAGGATTAAGATATATTAATAGAATCAAATAGGGCACTTAAACAGTCAAGATGATTCGATGAATCATCTGATTTAAAGACAATTAACTACGATGCAACGTAATTCCCCTTTCTGTGGAGGCCACTCAATTGCATTTCTTGTCTACTGAAACTGGATTTTGGCTGTCCGCTTTGCAATCAGCTTGCCCTCAGGACCCATGTGTCTGTTGTCTTAGATTGAATCCTGACCCATCTGTCCTGTCATCAAGAGATCAGGATTTCTCTTTTCCGTTGTCTCATGCCTTTTCTCCCTTGCCTTATTTGCTTATTACTCTCTCTCTCTCTCTCTCTCTCTCTCTCTCTCTCTCTCTCTCTCTCTCTCTCTCTCTCTCTCTCTCT